TTCATGTACGTCACGACGATAGGAGGGCTGGACCTGGTGAGCTTGTCGTCGATTCTGACGAAGGGAACCAGTCGCGCTAGCGAACAAGTGACATGCCACTAACGGTACCTCACGCCACCGCCAGATGTGATATTCTGATTGGACGCTGCTGTATTGGCCATGTTTTCAAGGATCCCTGAAAGAAAAAAGTCATCCCTCCCCTCCCCTCCCCCTCCCTCCCTCCCCTCCCCCCCCCCCTCCTCCTCATCCTCCTCCTCATCCTCATCCTCATCCTCATCCTCATCCTACTACTACTACTCTTGTCCTCCTCCTCCTCCTCTCACCTGATCAGCATTCTGAAACTTCACATCGAACGCCTTGGCGAAGTTCTGACCCAGGAAGTGGCTGGTACCGCTCTGCAGCGCCCATCCGTTCTGCATGAGCGCCTCGATCGTGTACGTCTCGTCTGCTCCTGCGAATCTCTCCGAGGGACTCTTTGTTCCCTTCACCACGGGGATCGCCAGGATCCCTTCAGCCACCTCAGCGTACACATCCAGCATCTCCCTCGCACATCCGTCCGCCTCCTCCTTGCTCGCATGCGCCGTGTGCCCCTCCTGCCACAGGAACTCTGCGGACCGCAGGAACGGGCGGGTCCTTAGCTCCCAGCGCACAACGTTGGCCCACTGGTTCACCTTGAGGGGCAGGTCGCGGTAGGAGCTGATCCACTTGCGGAACATGTCCCAGATGATGGTCTCAGACGTCGGTCGGACGATGAGAGGCTCTTCCAGCTTCGCCTCGGGGTCTGCCATCAGCCCCTTCCCGCTCGGATCCGCGCAGAGGCGATGGTGGGTGACAACGGCGCATTCCTTGGCAAACCCCTCCACGTGCTCGGCCTCCTTGGACAGGAAGGACATCGGGATGAAGAGGGGGAAGTAGGCGTTCTGCGTCCCCGTCTCCTTGATCCTCCTGTTCAGCTCGTCCTTGAGCTCGTCCCATACCGCCATGCCCCAAGGTCGAATCACCATACATCCCTTGACGGGACTCTGGTCCACCATCTGAGCTGCCTGGATCACGTCCTGGTACCACTGGGAGTAGTCGGTGGCCCTCGGAGTGATGACGAAGTTCTCCTTCTCGTTGCTGTTGCTGCTCGCCGCCTTCTGCTGCACCTGCTGGTTTGCAGCCTTCTTGGGCTTCTGTCCTGGTTTGGGCGGGTCGAAGGGCTCGCCGGTGAGAGTCTCCCATCTTGCCTTGAGGGAGAGCAGGTTGTCGATGTCAGGCTGAAGCACGCTCTTCTCCTTCACCCCGTCAGCCTTCAGCTGCTTGATCTTGTCAGCCACTTTCTCGATCTCCTGCTTGAGCTCCTTCTTCATCTCGTCCAGCGTCGTGGCCTCACCGCAGCCACAGTCCTCCGTGACGTCTCCTCCTCGCTCCGTAGACGCCCAGCGGACAAGACGAGAGCCTCGCATCGATCGAACAGGCTCCATGGCCGGCTGCAACAAACTCCCCTGACGCCCGAGGGAGCGAAGAGCAAGAGGCGTCGAGCCGAGCATGGAGTGCATCACGTTGTTCATCAAAAACCTTGCCTTCATCATCGAGGGGCAGTAGGGGTTGAAGGCCAGAGCTGAAATCTTGAGGGAAAAGAAGATGGACACTGAGAGTATCCCCCGGAGGCTGCGCGACGATGGTACCGCCATGTCCCTGAAGTTGAGAAGGTCAGTGGGTTCTAAGCAGTCTCAGTGGAACTTCACTCCATCACGAATGTATGTCCTTCATGCTTTGACCGCGCAAGACATTGAAATCTCCTCGTCTAGCATCATGCTGCTGGATTGCTACATGAGCATGTCTATGAATCCTTCTCAAACATCGCATCACGTGGCTGTCGTATTTTAGATAAATCGTCTCTCGTTGAATCTCCTCCGATACATATTCTTCTCCCCTCCTTCAAGTCAACGACTCTTCTGCTGTTGTCCTCTCTCCCTCTCTCTTCTGTCTTCTATCTTCCCTCCCCTCCCCTATCTGCGTCCTTCCCTTCCTCTCCTCTCCTCCCCTCCTCCTCCTTCCCCATTTCCATCCCACGGCCTCCTGCCTTGATCTCTGCCTTGAACAAACAACATTTTCACTCAAAGTTAAGTTAAAAAGCAGTACGAGGACAATCAGGAGAGTCGAGGAGGCTTGACCCTGACACTGTCGCACAGGCCAAACGGCGAGAAGAGAAAAGACAGCGAGAACCAAACCCAATCCTGCCGACTGCTGTCCCCCAAACTTAACTGATACCTTCACTTAACGGCGCGCAGGACAAGTCCCCCGCGCGGCCATGCCAGCGATGTCAAACAACAAGTGGTGGGGCACGAGGAGGGATGAGGGTATACTGGGAATGGGATGAGTGGGGATGGGGGTCATGAGATTTCCGTTGAATGAGCATGACTCTTTGGATTTCCGAATGGGTAGGGTACTATGAAGGAGTGGGGTAGGTGGTATCACCTTACCCCATCTTTATAGAGCAGTATTTACTAGGATGATGGGGTGGACAGATTCTGCAATGCCGCAGAATTCCAAGGCTTCAAGGGTTGACCTCGTAGTACTAGGGTAGTACGGTCGGGGTGACCAGAGAACCGACATCGAACATGCAGGGCAACGGGGGAACGCGGGGGCGCCCGAAAGGTCAGAGGAGGAGGATGGCAGCGTGTACTAGTCTGAGCTGTATGCGGGTGATGGAAAGATGACGAAGGATGCGACTCTTGTCACTAGTTCGTCTCTCCTCTCCCTGGCGTGAGCAAGATCATTGTGTCCCACCTCAGATCGATTGATGCCTGTTGGTTTGGTTCCTGACGGATTCTGATGATGACGAGCAGCATCCACGATACCTAGACAGCCGCCTCTCTACAAGAGGACGGAAAGAGAAGAGCGCGCGGACCTCGAGGAAGGATGCTCGATGTCCGTCACGGTAGCCTGCTGACTCCGGCCAATGTGCAGGCGCTGCATAAGGAGAAGGTTTTACAGTCAGACGGAAGAGATCTCAAAACTCCTTCAGAGAGAGGACTCTGGTTGTCACGATCTCCAACAGGAAAGAAGGTGAAAGCAGCGTCTGGGTCCTCGCTGCGAACCAGGGATCATGTCAGAGAGCTCATGCGTTGGATAGGTGCAAGAGCTACCGGCAAAACGAATCCAGGACAGGGACTGGAAGACGCCGTTTCCTCCTTGGGCGATTGATCTGACAGATCCTGTGCGTGCCCCATCAGTGTTTTCTTGTCGTTCCTTCAGCGCTGAGCAAAGTTGGTGTACCTGTGCAGAACACCAAGAAAGATCCGATGGTGGAGTCAATCCTAAATTCTACTTCTCCGAAGCCGGTGAACCGGGTTTACGGTGAGAGCATGCGAAAGGAAGGAGGTCTTGTGGTCTTCGTCTGATCTCCTCTGCAGGAAATGGAGGGAGGCCCCTTAGGGAGTTCGAGGAGAAGCCGCACTCAGCGCTGACGAACAACGGTTAGATCCGATACTGATTATTACCTAGACCTCTCACTGTTTCGTCAAGGCTATGCAAGGAACTCTCTTGGTGGTTTCTACACATGTTGAAAAGAGATGGTTATCACCCAGTGGCTTCGGTATCCACAAGGAAGACATCGGGTTGTGAATTTTTCATCGAGTGATTGTTGGTGGAAAGCTGTATTTTGGTTCGGGAAGATTTATCAACACAAGAGAAAACAATCGATCTAAATTTAAGAGAATGAAACGGGGTTTTCAGGATTCATCTCAATGCCGTCCTCCAAGTCAACCATCGGCTGAGTCATACAAGTTAGCGATGACTCCTGGGAAACGACAATTCAACTGCACAACATACACACCTGTCTCCTTGCATCCAAATCGCCAGATTGAAACAGTTTGTTGATTGCACTTGCCTGCAGAACAGTATAAGAGACTAGTCATTCTACACCTCCATAGACTACCTGCGTGTCAGCTGCTCCGTTCGGATTTTCGTCCAGCAAGAAGTGGGCAGGATGCTCCTGAGGAGCAACGCCTCCTTTCCGGAACTGAGGGATTTGCTGGACAAAAGTTCAGTTCACCATGAGAAGCGTCGCATCGAGAGCAGAACCTCGTAGGGAACGAGTGTATCCATCATGCCATCAACCTGAGCAAAGAATCACGTGAGCGAATGCCGGGCTGCATACACAAGACTCACTGAGTTGTACTTCCTTGGCTTGTCCTGTGACTCCCATGGAATCCCGTTGGATTTCACCCCAGCGCTTTCTATCTTCTTCTGAGATTCACGATGGCGCTCCACAGCTGCTTTCGCGTCTTCCACTGGGGCCTTCGGGATTCTCCTGGCCTTATCGAATTCAGTATCATCCCACGCTGGATTGGGGAAGCCGGAGTAGAAATCAATCGGCCAGCGATCTACGGGAACGCCTTTCGCCCTCAACTTGTCTTCTCCAGCAGTTCCCTCGTTCCACACTCCCCAACCGGCAGGCATGACGTCACCGCCTTTGTTCCTACCATGCTTCAGTGTGTAGGGATTCACAACTTGCTTGGAGGCACGAATCTTGGCCTTGAACTCCTTCTCTGTGCCAACTGTTGGGTCGAAGGGGATGTAAGGAACACTGCGGTACACATCCAACGGATAGTCATCATAGTTGACTCCAGCCCTTCTCATCGCCTCCTCATTCCCCCCAGCATTCTTCTTGAACGATGAGCCCCATGCGCCATCATACGTCGCCGGGAATCCGGTAGCAACGACTTCCCGGGGCAGAGGTTCGTCAATCACCTCCTCGACTGGCCCCTCTTGCAGAGAACTCCAAGTCATGGCCGGCCGCATGTACGAAGGACGCATGTACGAAGGGCGCATCATCCGCCTTGGCTGTGCCAACGGCGGGTTAGAATTCATGGGCATCCAAGTTGGAGTATGCGAGGAGAAAGCTCTGCGTGGTGCGAACCCCAGCATTCCTCCAGCTGGTCTGAACTCGCCGGCAGCAAGGCGGCGCTGCTGTGCGTATGGGGTTCTCTGCGATGGCTGCTTCGACTTCTCCTTGTCTTCAAGCTGCGAGGCTTCTTTCATCAGCGCCTTCCCCTGGTCGACGAACCCCTCTTTCTCCAGCTGACGAGCAGATTGCTTCATGCTCTCGACAGCATCGTTGTGCCTGTTGGAAACCAAGACTGATTCCTGGCTTCTGTTCAACGAGACTATGCACAAGACAGCACAGAGAGCTCCCGATGTCGCGATCAGAACTAAAAGATCCTTCCTGGTGCGTTGAGCACCAGCATGAATCATGCTTGGAGCCTACAAACAGAGCGTCAGAGCACAGATATGGTGTACCTGCTAAAAAACGAGCGCATAGATAGCGATGCAGAGATTAAAATGAGATACGAGTCGTGGGAGGAAGAAACGGTATATAGAGAGAGAGCACACATGTGAAGGAGAAATTGGATTGAGAGTGCGACACCAAGGAGCAGACGGGAAGAAGGGGGGCAGAAAAAGGCTGCTGCCAGACTAGGAAGGATGAAAGGACGGAGGCAGATGGCAGAGAGCAACGAAGAGGAGGGAGGGAGGAGGACATGGCTGCAATCAACACAAGAGAAACAGATCATGTCTACAGAAGGAGGAGGAGGAGGCGACGCGCAAAGTCGATCTAATCGCACAAAACGCTGCCATTTTCTGTGTGGCGACTCTTCGAAACTCAATTAGCTCATTCCGGGGCCGCATCCGCCCCGACTCCGGGCCGCCGGCCTGACTCGGACGGCCGCCCGGCGGGCCGCGGCGCGCCCGAGCGGCCTCGGAGCCGCAGTTCAACTAGCCTGTGAGTACCGTACTGAGAGTCACTGACTCCCGTCGGAGTTGTCGCTGAGCACTGCGGCAGTGGCCGCATGAGCTGACAGGAGCCACGGTTACCGTCCCGTCAAGGGCCTACTATATGTAGCCGGGAGCCATTACTATCGTAATGAAGGTAGTAGCCGGGACGTAATGTAGCCGGGAGCCTAGCCGGGGGAGTCCGGTGACACTGCCGCAACGCCGGCTCCCAGTGATCGGATCACTGTCCTCACCAGATGGTCAGATAGCGACCGAATTAACAAAACTTGAACTCTCCTGTAAACGTGACCAAGACGAGCCGCCTAACGTGTTGAATGCTTGGGTTTCACATGCATTACTTTGGCACAGTACAACTCTTAACTTTGAGTAGCCTCTCAGGCAGCGCCGACACTGGGCCCGGTAAGCCTACGGCGCCGTTCAATTCACGACCGGCGGGTGCAAGTGCTAGTATCGCACAGTTTTACTAAACCCGTTTAAGTTTAGTTAGAGTTTAGTTACTGATTTCGCCCTCCCCTCCATGCCCTCAGGACGAGCCGCTGCGGTCTCCCACTCTTCCATGCCGCCGGCTGCCCCACCATCTCCTTCCTCCTCGTCTGATCGTGCCGTGGTACACACACTCCTCCTCTTGCATCGCTCCCTTGAGGGGCAGCATGACGGTCAGCAGGAGACTTGCGTGTAATGGTGAGGATCAAATCTGAGCGGAGGGAAGTCAGAGGAAGGAAAATGAGCCTTGTCTCAAGGGCTGCTTGTGACCCCAAGGAGGCAAGAGCGCGGACCATGTTGCTCGCAGTGATCCTGCTGCTGAGCGATGCTGCGATCACTGCTACAGATCTTCATCATGATGGGAAGTCGGCGAGGAACTTCGCTCCACTGCGACTGAGAGGAGGGGGGAGGTCGATAGAAGACTTGAGGGTGATGGAGTATCCTGATCCCAACAACATCATCAAAGTTCCAGGTGCTGTGACGCCAGTGGATATGCTCCATTGATCGCTGTGTGACAGACGACGGTTTCTCCATCCAACAGGCTGTGGACTCACTGGATCCTGGAGGATGTGTGTGCGTCGGAGCGGGAGTGCAGGAGTGGGAGTACACAACGACCGTCGCAATCAACGACAACATCTCCTTCGTCGGCGAAGAAGCCTCTGTGACTGACATGCTGGGCTCAGGAGCTGTGCCGTGCTGATGAAGAGCTTTCAGGTGTGCAAGGGGAGGTGGCAACTTTGTCCTGCCACACACGGCCATTGGTACGGAATGTCGACAAGGCTGAGAGCAAAGATGTCATCAGACATGTGCTGTCTGGTGCAAGGAGGAAGCTTCTCTGCGCCCTGGGTCTTCGACACTTGCAACGTGATCTGCGACTACGGGGTGAGAGGGACGGAGAATGCGCGGGATGCGAGGGAGTGATATGGCCGCAGGCTGCCATCTTCTGCTCAGACCAGGCTTGTCTCGCAGTCTACTCGTCGAGGATCGGGGGGATCAGGAGGAGGCCAGACGTGTTCCCCCCCTCCACAACCAGGACCGACATCATCGTGCTGGCCCACGAATCGTTCTGTGCACTGCAAGGGTGATGAATCCCCTGTGAGAGGTTTCTCCTGAGGTTCTCGTGCGCTCAGTTGTGAGATCTCATGGAGTGGGGGTGAAGACAGAGGCGTCTGCCTGCTGGACAGATCCCGATGCTTCCTCTCGTCCTGTCGGTAGATCCCTCCCCGACCTCGTCGCCTTCCTGTTGTGACCCTGGGCCCTGCTGTAGTTTTGATATGCTGGGAATCGCGATCGGCATCGACAATGAAGCTGGGGTCGAGGTGGGAGGAGAGACCTGATGCAGATGTAGGCTGATGACGTGGCAGATCCAAGGTTCCGAGATGAAGAGGCTCTTCACTTCCATGCTGCAAGCTGGTCCTACCCCGCAGGGAGCTCAGATTGCGATCTCAGACGATTGCAAGGTGAGGAAGGGAGGGAGGGTGAGAGAAACGGGGGGAGGAGAGAGGGAGGGAGGGAGGGAGGGAGGGAGGGAGGGAGGGAGGGAGGGCGGGAGGGAGGAGTGCAAAAAGAGTTCACGAAAGAGTGCAAAAGGGAGCTCAGAGTCGAACCAGGTCTCTGGATTTGTGTGGCACGGAGCAAGGAGGGCAGGAACGGTTCGCTTCGGGCAGAATCTGCAGGAGCTCGAGCAAGACGTGGAGCGGCAGAGCAGGGAGCAGAGTTCGACGCTGTCAGTGCTGAGACGAGAGATGCTTCAAGTAGAGGAGGAGGAGGAGGAGGAGGGGGAAAGGGGATACGCAGACCTCTCGATCTTGCCCAAGTACGAGGAGGAGCTGAAGGAACCGGCCAACCCTTTCCTCGAGATCCCCGATGCGGTCGACCAGCTGAAGAGGATCTACCAAGGGGAGAAGCCCCCGGAGCTCCTGCGGCAGGCCCGGGAGGACCCGAGGCTGGGAGCGAGGGAGATTCTTGAAGAGCTCGACTTGAACCCGACCTACAAGTCCAACGAGACGCTTTACAGCTTCATACGGCACGTCTTTCACAGTGAGTCTCCTCCTCCTCCTTCCTCCCTTCCTCCCTCTCTTTTCCCCTCATCTCCCCCATCCTCTCCCCCTCCCCATTCCTTCTCCTCCTCCCTCTCCTCTTCCTCCTCCCTCACATCCAGATTTGTCTCCGACCGTTCCGTTTCTATCTCTTTTTCGTTCGCTCGTTATAATTTCCGCTCTCTCCAATCTTTCTCTTCCCTCTCCTCCTACTCCGATCTACTCCTTGCTCCAACTGACAACTCGCGGGAAGACGAGCCAGAGTACCAACCCTTGCTGAAGAAGCTTGAGGAGGGGGCCAACTCTGTCCCTGAGCATCTCGCCGACAGGTGATCTCTCTGCAAGGACTGGGAGCGAGTGACTAGCTCCACAGAGTGAAGAACATGACAGAGATCGATCGGGACCTCTACATTGTTCTGCAGCCTTTGGCAGAGCAGCACGTGCGTCTTTCTCCTACTTCCTCTTTGCTGTTACTGCCTGCTCCTGCTCCTGCTCCTGCTCCTGCTCCTCCCCTATCATATCTCCCTCTTTATCCTCGTGTCTGTGTTGTTGCTGTGGGGTCCTCTTGCTCCTGCCCTTGCTGTTCCTGTTGGGCCTCCCCAAACTCTCCACTACAACTTCCTCCTCCTTCACTACCCTCCTCCTCCACGACCACCACCACCACGACCACCTCCTCATCCTCCTCCTCCTCCTCCTCCTCATCATCATCATCATCATCATCATCATCATCATCGTCATCCTTCTCTTCCTCCATCTCCTCATGCCTAATATTATGACTCGCAGAGGCGCCTTCGGCTGCAGAATGCCTCGCTGGAGGAGGATGTCAAGGAGCTGGAGCAAGTGCAGGAGGTGCAGGAAGGAGTCGCAGAGGGGCTGGAAGGCCTCTGGAGGCTCCTCGAGGAGGAGTCGGAGGAGGGCGAGAGGCAGTTGGAGATTTTCATCAGCAGCCTCCCCAAGTGGAAGAAGGATAAAATGGCGACAAAGGTGGGGCTGGACGGTCGATGGGCTGCCTTCAACCTGTTCGAGGAGTACTGGAATGAGATGTTCCCGAGGGATGCGGAGAGGGTGGCGAAGAAGATGGAGAGGAGGTTCCTGGATTGCATGTATGCTAAGGGGAAGAAGGGGAGGAGGGGCGGAGAGAGGTGCGATGGGGAAGGAGGTGTTCACGCGGGGTGGGGCGGGGTGAGGGAGAGGGAGGAGGACGTAGGAGAGGAGGAAATGTGGACGGAGCAGCGGAACGGTGGGGGAGGAGGGATGGAGGTTGAGGAGGACGGAGAGTGGACAGGGCGGAGCTGGGGGCGAGGACAGAAGGAGGAGAAGGAGATCTGGACGGATGAGCGGACCAGGGGCAGAGAGGAGGAGGAGGAGGAGGAGGAGGAGGAGGAGATCTGGACGGATGAGCGGACCAGGGGCAGAGAGGAGGAGGAGGAGGAGGAGGAGGAGGAGATCTGGACGGAGGAGCGAAGCAGGGCAGGAAGAGGAGAGGAGGAGACATGGACAGAGCGGCAGAGCAGTGCAAGAGGAGAGGAGGAGGAGGAGATGTGGACGGAGCAAAGCGGGGCAAGAAGTGAGGAGCACCCCAGAGGCTTCGACTACAGGAGATCTGTAAACAAGGTCGATGGAAATGATGACGACTACGAAAGAGGAGGAGGAGAGAGCAGAAGAGGAGAGAGCAGAGAGAGTGGAGGAGGAGGAGGAGGAGGAGGAGGAGGAGGAGGAGGAGAAGGAGGAGGAGGATATGACGACTACGACTACGACTACGAGCTTCAAGAGAGAAGAGGGGCTTAAGAAGGAGAGAAAGGGGATCATAGTGACTAACTTAATTTTTCAATTGAATTAAACGATCATGTCTATTTGAGAATGTTGGTCTTGCTCAAGCTCGACCACGAGAGACCTCTCCTCCTGTTCTCTGTCTTGATCATGATCGACTCCTTGCTGCCACTGCCCTTGTCGCCGATTCTCCTTCCCTTCTCTCTCTCCTGCTCTACTTTGATGTTGGTAACTGTCGATGCCGCACGGTCTGTAAGGACGACAGCAGTGAGATAGACTAGAGGCAGGACGAAAGATACCGATCGAGATGCACTCAATCTTGTGCACAGACTTGTCGAACTCCGCAACATGTCCTCCTCCTGAAGTGAAGAATGAGGGGCGAGGAGGGAGGGAGGGAGGAGAAGGAAGGAGGGAGGGAGGGAGGGAGGGAGGGAGGGAGGGAGGGAGGGAGGGAGGGGAGGAAGGGGTGTATAGCGCGGGGATAAGTATAGAAGGCGAGGAGGAGGAGGAAGGATTATCTTCATCACCTTGCAATGTCTGCTTCTCATGCGAAGATGTCGCTGAGTTACAGACCAGAGGCCTCACGGAGAGTTCGATCCCAACAGAGGTGGAGGAAGAGGAAGAGGAGGAGGAGGAGGAGGAGGAGGAGGAGGGAGACGAAGATAGCTGTATGACAGGCAAGGAAGAAGTAACATTGCAGCAGGTAGGTAGCGATTTTCTCGAGCTGAACTGAATTCGAGGAAGGAGACGGACTGAAAAAACCACGAGGGGAAAGGAAGATCTGAAATTCAGAGTCAATGAGGAGGAAGGAGGAAGACTGCAAGATGGGAATAGAGAAGTAGAAGAACAAGAAGACAGAGAAGAGGAGAGGAGAGGAGGAGGAGGAGGAGGAGGAGGAGCATCTAAGAAAGAGTTACCGCTGAACTAGGAGAAACATTCTGTCCGACAAACTTCTCCTCATCAGGTCTCTCAGCACAGCCCGAGGTAAGTCAACGGTGACTGAAACACCCATGTCTCGCTCCCACTTCTTCCTAGCCTTGGAGACAACCAACTCGTTCCTCCTGCCCTCCCCGCCTCCTCCTTCCGTCTTCCTCTCGTCCTCCCTTCCTTCCTCCCTCCTCGGAGGCTCGAAGAGGCTGGTGACTGTCATGATTTGCCTGCTCAACTCGTCCAAGGAGGCCAACAAACTCTCGTTCAGATGCCTGCTGCGGACCAGCGAGTCGTTTGCCGACAGCAAGCTTCTCTCCCTGTGCTGGGGCAGCGGCATGATGCTGCTCTCATACCGCGCTGCCATGTCTGAGACCCTCGTCGAGACTTCACTCGCCGTAGCAGAAGGCAAGCAGGTCGAGCTCATCCTGATACCTGCGACCCCTTCACGAACGAGAGCGAAAGCTTCATCCTCACTTACCGAGGGATTCAGCCGACCGCCTGACCTCTCCTCTCAGCATCTCCCAGTCCATGACGCCGCTCTCCCCCTCGCCACAGCCCTCGACATGCTTCTTTGCGACAGGGCTCGTCGTGGTGAACCGCTTGGATTGTGCATTAGCGTGTCTCCACCAGGCGTGCTTCCTGCGAGGAAACGATCATCTCGGAGCAATCTCATCCAAGTGCGCTCGCTGACCTTCTTGGATCTCTGCGCAGGAACTTCGATTCCGCTGATGGAGGACGAGGCTGCAACTGTATGTCCTGTTCCTGGACACTGCAGCATTTGATAAGCTCGTGGTCCCGGACGTGACCTGCGCACCAACGTGAACCAAATGGAACAGCATACATGTTCTTCTTGTCTCACTTGAGGCCTCTTCTAGCATGACTTGTTCCTTGTGACGTTCTCCTCCTCCCTCGTCTTTTACCTGCTCCTTCCGATTCTCAACCGTCACAGTCGACTTCCCTTCCCTCTCTTGCCCGCACGAGTTAGAGGAGAATCGACTCATGTCGAAATTGCAGTCTCTCGCCAGCTTTAAGACTCGCTCATGCAGATCCTTCGACTTGCAGTCCCTCTCCCCATTTTCTGCATGGCCTGACAGCAGGGCGATCTTTCGTTTGCCCATTGAGCTGTTGGACAAGCTTTCATAGCCATGGACGCGATCTGAAGGGGAGGGCAGCAAGTCAAACTGTCTGTCTGGTGTCTTCATGTGTCTGACAGGAGACGAGGGAGCATGTAAGCTCTTGATGGGTGAGAAGTGCGCGGGAACGAACAGGTCAAGAGCGTTATCGCCGTCAAGTTCTATGAGATCGGCATTCACCATTCCTGAAGCCAATCCTTAGCAGCGAAGTTTGTACGGGATCAGGGCGTTACAACATCATTCGACGTCGAGCATGCAGCTCCTCCTTCTCTTCTCTTCCCTTCTCCTCGCCTTCCACACTACAAGAATCTACTACACGCTGTACACGCCTGCTCAAAACTTCCGTTCAGGTTGCCACAACCCGTTACCCATCGGTTACGCCAGGAAGCGGACCGTCCGACACGGCGTGACCCGCCCGGCCGGGTGATCGGACCGGCCGGGCCCGGGCCGGCCGGGCGGCCACTGGTCACGCCGGAGCCTCGGAGGCCGGAGCCGCGCCCACCGGGCCGGTCCCGGCCAGTCACTGAGCCTGAATCCCAGACTCCCGTCGGCCATGGGGTGCGGGCGGCCCGGCGTCCCCGGCGGGCTCCGTACTTTCTGCCGGCGGCCCCGCCGCCGGGCCCGGGCCGGCCGGGCCCCGGCCGGACGGTCCCCGCCGGTCCGAGTCCCGGCGGAGAGGCCTCCCCCTGGCCCGGGCCGCTACTGAGTCGGCGGCCGCGGTGATCGGCCATGGCCCGGCCCGTGCCGCAGTGCCGCAGTGGCCGAGTGGCCCGGGCCGGCGGGCCGGGCACTGGCACTGGGCTAAAACAGTAACGTGCCCCCATCCCCACTCAGTCGGAAACCTGACTGGATTTCATGGCGGCGCTGGGGATAGGGTGAGGAGCAGAGCATGCGCTGTGTGTGCTGATCATCATGGCACCTTCATCATCCGATGTAGTCTCTCTTCCTCTGATCGCATGCTGTGGACTGTATCGTTGTGTTTGTTTGCTGGTGCTCGCCGTAGGCTTACCGTATCCTCCCATGTTGCTACCAAACTGCCAAGTTGCGATGGGACTGATCTCTTTTCAAATTGTACCTTCTCACGTGTGTTGTTGGATATTTGATGGTGATCCTTGTTTTACTTCATTGACTTTCTTTGTGTTGTTACATGTGTCTGAGCTCTGTTGGCAGGCTTGTTCTGTTGTTTACCTCAGCGGTTCAGGGAGCTGCTCCCGATGTTTCGGGTGTATCAGGTACCCGCCCCTTCCGATTTCATAGTGAGTGTGCTCAGTCTTTCCCTCTATGTCAGGATGGAAGAATCCTCTCTTGAACGGAGCTGTTCTTCAAGTTCCGTTTCAACTTGCTGCTTTCCCCCTCGACACTTTCAAGACCCGCCTTCAAATTCCCTTCGGTATGAACAGCAAAGCGCCAATCCCGTCAATGTCTTGGACCTCAATGGCACGCAGGAGCACCGGGTGCCTATCAAGCTTCTGAGAAGGCGTTCGCTGTCAGGTAGGATCGAGCCAGACGTCTCCCTACTGTGATAGCATTGCTTGTTGAACAGACGGGTAAATGCCCGACAACCGCCGTTTTGGTCGGGAGTTGTGAGTTGTTCTGCTCAATGCAGACATCGCGCTTGACTCGCTTTTACACGATAGGGAGCGTCCAGCCTTAGCCAGCTGCCTACCTTCTTCTTGGTTTACAGCACCTTTGAGGCCGTGAGGTGCCATACAACGTCCTAACGCCGTCACTGTCCTCTCATCTTGAATCAGGAACAAACTCGAGAAGAAGTTCCCAGAAGCGAACAAAGTTGCCATCGATGTGATGAAGAGGGGGAGAGGACCCTGCACTGCAAGCTTGACTCGATGCCGCAGGTCGGAGCATCCATGGTGGGCAGTTTGGTCGGCTCGGTATGGTCCACCCCATGTGAGGTGGTCAAGTGCACGTTTCAGAGCGGCATGTACACTGCGTCTCTCAAGAGCGCCGTGCGGGCGATCCAGAAGGAAGCAGGAATGAGGTGAACGCGTCCTGGCCGAGGGAGCGGCAACTGACGGGGGGACACAGGGGCTTCTTTCAGGGATACACCTCTCAGCTCTGCAGGGACCTGCCTTTCTACTCTATCATGTTCGCCACCTACGAGGCCATGCATGACACGTATAGATCGAAGTTCCTGACGGTGAATGGATCTCCTCCACCTTGTGCGCTTCACGCTGACATACCGTCGGCTTCTCCTCAGTCCAAGGACAAGAAAGGTCGAGTGGTCAAGGTGGACGACACTCAAGACCTCGCCAACGTGGCCATCGGCTTCTGTGCTGGAGCTTTTTCTGGGCTTATCACCAATCCCCTCGACGTGGCTCGAACGCAGGCTACCATGAGAACATGGAGCGGGGGTCCGTCCTCCAACTCCCTCGGATTGCTTCCCCGCATTCTCGCCGAGCAGGGAGTTCGAGGACTTTTTGCAGGTGAGCAACTCGATTTGTTTTCTGTCAATCTTAAAATCTGCCTGCGTCTCTCTCATGTTCTGCCTCAGGCGCTCTTGTTCGCTCCACGTACATCGGTTTGGGTGCAGGAGCATTTTTCTATGCCTATGAGAGGACCATGAAGCAGCTACAAAGCCAAGTCTGAAACTCTCAGTTTATGTGGATCATACCAAAGTAGAGCCACAAAGGTACATGGGTCTGACACAGATATATGTGCTTACATGTGAAATATTTATGGAGCATTTGTGAACATGATATTAAGGAATCAGTGGATCTACAAAACCTTCTCGGTCTTTTTCCTTCGTATGTAGTTAATCCCCTTGAGCGCCTAATCAAAATGTTAAAATCAATAAAGATATTCAATCGGAGGATAAGTAGCTCACCATGTCCAGATGGTCACAGTCTTCCTCCTGCTCAGGAGCTTGTGCATTGATGTTTGAGTCCTCCCTCTCAACGGGACGATTCAGTCTCCTGATCCGCACAACAACATCAGCTCTGATCCCACAGGAGAGACAAGTCTCTCACTTGTTCAGTGTCGACAAACCGAATCTCTCTGCAATCTGAAGAAAGTTTTACAGCTGATCCACGTCAAGTAGCTCAGTGCACAATACCTGCATGTCTCTCATTTCCCTGATGAGCAGTGAGGCCTGGCAGAAGTTTCAGGAGAAGCCACGAGACAAGAGAGGACGTGACGAGCATTCCTATGAAATTGGCAGTGGAGGCCGAAAGTATGATACCTCAATCTTGGTCGAAGGAATAATCGAAATGCCGTAGTTCTTCAAAACCTTGATCTGTTCCTGTTTCCAGCAGGAAAACCTCTCAACATTGCATTGCAGAGCAGCAAGTGAGAAGTTCGTCTCTCACCTGGCTCGGACTGTTCGGATCTGTCTCATGAGCATTCGACTCCACACAGTCATCGTCGTTTGGACCTCTTTGTGAGAACCCCCTGTCTCGGGCCAACCGTTTGATCTCTAGAACTTCCTCCAAAGTTGGTCCCAGATGACGCCTCTGTGGTCCCTTGTCCTGGCCCGAGTAGGCAACGAGGCCATCTTCTGCGTTTTCCTGGCATTCTCTGCTTTTTTGTTTTTCACGTTCAACTAAGGACGACAACTAAAGCCAAATCCCATACCTTGAATCGAACTTCGACGCTTGGATCTGCTTCTCTTCCTGAAAGCGAATCTCTCTGATCTCGTCGATGGTGGGTCCAAGATGTCTTCCGCTCAACATGCATGTCTCTGCCCCTGCGCTCTTTGAAATAGCTTCCCGCCCTGCTCTATGTCTGGATAACCTTGGAGAACAAGGCTGGATGAACGCAAGGTTTCTTGTGTGTGTGGAATGTGAGGAAGCAGTGTCTGATTCAAGGTACAATGAGCATGTCGGTAGCGCGAGCATGGCGCACGCGCCCAGTAAACGAACGAATCCCGCCTTTGTCGCCATGGCGGGGGGGGACGGGACCGTTATTACCCGCCAAATCAAATAAGCGGGTAGGTCCAGATCCGCCTCAGAGCGTTTGAATAGTAGTACGGTACCTTCTTTGGAAACCGGGCGGCGGCCCCCAGCAACCGTCTACGGCCTCCACTTTTAAATTTGAACCAATAGCGTAGAAAACTGAAATGCTCTCTTTTTAAACTTGAAAGTAGACTCGGCCGAGTGCCGTAGGCTACCGTACGCTGATAGGCCGGGCCCGGCCGCTACTAGGCGCTGGCAACTTGAGTCCATGCAACTGGGCAAGTCACTGCTGAGCTGCCGCTGAGTGGCCGAGACGTTCCGTTGGCTCTGCGGGCATGACCGCCGGCTCCGCGTCGCTCAGCGGGCGGCTTGTCACAGGGCCTCTACACGTTGCAATCAGAATCCACTGGCACTAAATTTTGACAGGTAGAAGCCCCGAGAGTCATGTACGGTATCCGCTTGCGCGGCAACCAGAAGTCTGTGCGTGTGTTGTGTGAAAGAAACTCCAGTCGGCAGAGCAAATCAGAGATTCTCATAAGCAACGAGGAATGAGATGATAGCGGGTAAACTTGCTTAGTCTGTCAGGGCTACGCGCGGAGGGATTTCAGTATCCCTGCTTCCCTCCATTCAGCACAGACCTGCTTGAAGGATCAGACTGGAAGTAAGCAGGTTACTGAACCTCGTCATGAGATCGCTTCTTCGCATCCCTTTCTTGAAACAGAGCAGAAGTTGCAAACACGCCCAGGACATTCATCGTCCGCGCGTTTCTTGAGTGATCGATGTCTTGCCCGAACATATCAGAAACCTATTGAACCATCAGGAAAAAGAAGCGGGAAGGAGGGGAGAGGAGGGAGTAGTGTTGGAGACTGGGGAGGGGAGGAGCAGAAGGAAAGACAGGAGTGAGAGGCCACCTTCCCTCCGGCTGCACGAATCAGCGCTTCTGTAGCACAGGTGTCCCACAGGTTTGTTTGAAGATGCATCAGCGCACAGTCGGCGTCTCCTCGCAGAACAGAAAGGATCTTGCTCGTTGTCAAAAGTTCCTCCCTCCCTTCCTCCCTCCCCTCAAAAGTTCCTCCCTCCCTCCCTCCCTCCCTCCCCTCACCTTGTTCCCGACTCCTCCTGTCAAGTTCCTCCCTCCCTCCCTCGCCTCGGCGGTCCCGATGATTGCCTGGTGACCCCTAAAAGGTTGTCGG